TGTGTTACCTCATTACAAAATAAAAGTATAATTTTAAATACATTATTAAACATTGGAATGTACAGACAATTTAAAAGAAATCAATACTCCAACCTGAAGATAATCACAGTTAACATGATGCATTCCTTTCTAGTTTTTGTTCATTTGTCATTATTTTGATAAAACACTTTCAATTTCTTTGATTACCTTCCCTGGTGTTTGTGAAATATTGATTTATTCATTTAGTCAACAAATACACATTTCTGGCCGACCACATGCCAGGTACTCTCATGCATGGAGAATAGAAGTAAGCAAATAGTCCTCAGATTAATGAGAGAGACAACTACTAATCAGATAATCATAAAGATTTTATTTGAGGAAAAGGTATAAAGGACATGATGAGGACAATGGTTCCACTGAAAAGAGCACTAAATAACAGTCAGCAGGTATGAGCTTTATTCTTGACCCACAAACTATATAACTATGTGCAAAGCTCTTCCATTTTTATGCTTCTGTATAAAATAATTCTCCTAAAGTCTAAATTTTCATTAATCCAATACCAGAAAAAACCCACAGAACTAGTTCTCTAACATGTTAATATTACTAGCAAATGTTCAACCAACTCATCTTTTAAATATTCAATTGCTCAACTTTCCTCTTAAAAGTATGATTAGTAGCACAGAATTTAAAAATCAATGACAGGGATGATGGCATTGAGTTATAACATGTGCACACTGAAGGTAGTTTCTCTGAACAATCAGAGCAAAAGCTGTGGAGACAGGCACTCCGGCAGTCACATTCTGCCTCAGATAGTTGTTAAGTAGTTTGAGAAAAATACATTTTCTGGAATTCAGTTTCTTTATAACAGTAACTTACAATATTGGTGTGAGATCATGAACAATATATCTAAACATTGAGTAGCCTTCCTGACCCATAAGTAGACCTCAAATACTACTCATAAATATCATCAGGTTTTAAAACAATCCTTACTGAGAACTTTACCAAGTGATTCACACACAGCCCAGGTAGAATCAGAAGCAAGTGGCAGACAGGCCTTTAAAAAAGGAAATACAATCTGAAATTTCACACATGCTTAAACAGGAGAAAATACTTTAATATAAATGTTTAAAAGAAACACCGGGTATAAAAATGACCCTATTCACGATTCCCAATAGGACAAGATGAAGACTTAATTCTGAATTAGTGGTAATAAGCTGTTCCTGATCTGATGTTTTTGTTTGCTTCCCAGTTAGTAAAACTCTTTCATAAGTCTAGTTATATTTGTTAAAAATAACAACTATCAATTGAAAAATCCCTTACTGTTTTCTCAGAATTAATGGTTTTACTGAATTTTTCATGTAGTACATGATCATGTTAGTGAGTTCACTTCTTAAGGAAATATGATTTACCTTGATAATTATTTTTTTAGAAACGTCATATTTGAAAAAATAGGATTCATGCAGATGCAGTACCTAATAACTCTACAGCTAATACAGATATGTAATTTATACATATATATTATGATTGCTATACAATTCTGGCTCTGCAAGAATTATCAGATCACAGGCAGAAAAGTCCATTGAAGACAAAGGAAACAGTTTAAATCTAAATAGCAAGACTATTACTGTTGATTATTGCTTCAGTTATACCACATCTCACTTCACAAATTTCTCAGACTTAATTACAAAATCTGAATGAAGAATTTTAAGGTAATATCTATCCTATGTAATAATAGACAAACATGGTAATTGACCGTACCTTCACTACGCCTCCCATTGGCTAATCAGTGAGATATGCAAATTAACCGCCAACAAAGATGGCAGTTAATTTGCATACATAGGCACAAAGCAGTGGAGTGAAGACTAAAGGCGGCTCCGGCCAGAGCAGCAAAGGCTTGAAGGCGGCTCTGGCCGGAGCAGTGAAGACTGAAGGCAGCTCCGGCCGGAGCGAAGGACTGGGTCCCGGGTGCCGGAGGAAAACCGGTGCCAGCAGCCAGGGG